GAGAGAGAGAGAGGAGACTGGTTCTTGAGAATTCCAAGTGTTTTCCGATTCTCATGAACCCGACGACAGCATTATAACCCTAGTAAAAGAAGGCAGAGAAAGGAGAGGGGAAAGGGGCCTTCGTGGTCCCTACATCCAACTCTGAGCCAGTCCTTCCCTCCTTGTTATAGGCCAAAAAATGGCAAAAGAAGTCGGGACATGGGAGCGTGGGCCTGACCCGGAGCTCCATAAAAGGAAAAGAAAATACGCAAAAACCTTAAATGCTACGTGCATGTGGTCTTACCACTGCTACGAATCTAAATGCCAAGTGACAGGTGAGATTTAAATCCCCTCTCCCTCTAAGATATAATATGTTCCCATTTAATCCAAGCAAGGAGACGACAAAATGGCCAAAAAGTGGTGTCATATGCTTGCCAGCCCAACCCCACAACCATAGGGCAAAAGGCCCCACAAGGCGACAAAAAGTGATATATCCAGTACTCGTCGCCGCTGTGGGCTCCCAGACCGACCCCTCGAACCCACGATGATGATGATACCTTCTGTGACCCCTCGAACCATGGTACTTATGGTACAATTATTTGCTCATCCTGGTCCTAATGACCTTAAGGATATATAGATTTAAGACTCATGGCAATTTTCTACTGAATGATTCGTTGGTGGGTATGTTTTCATTCATGTTGTACGTACCAGTCGTATTGAACAGCACTGTTGATGATCAGGAGATCAGCTTCCTTATTGCGTTGATGATGGCGACCAGACGTGGCCTTCGTTCCGTTACTGTCAGGTTGTTGACCGTTGACTGACTGCAGTGGCACAATGATTTAGATCGTCTTCGGCTCTGAAGCACTGCTGCAAAGCTCACAAAGAAAAATAAAAAAAATCGAATCTGATAAGCGGAGTGGGACGGTGACAGATACTAATATTTACAAAGTGGAATCTCTGATGAGGTTGTAGTACATGCAAGGATTAAGTGTCCAGGACCATGTCACAACAGTCCGATCGCGATCGGACGGTGCTCGATTGTCGTATGCTTACCTGATACAGCAGGAGCCGAGAAGATGTCTGATATACGCGGGTCCATCAGCAACCCCACTGCAGCATAATTGACTGGTCAAACGTCTCGATCCTGTCGCAGTGGCAACGCCTTGGAACCCTTCCCCTCCACCTGATCCCGATCATGCCATCAACAGAACAACAGAGGGATCACAGGGCGGACAGCATCGTCGAACCCGATACAGGGGAGTTTGGGGCGACCAGCCCGAGCAGGGATGCGGCTGGAGCGTGATCAAAGAGGCCCAAGAGGAGAATCTGTTCCTGCATTGACAAAACAAACCATCAGGTGGCAGTATATCAAACCTGATACCACCCTCCGTCCCTCTTGCTGCTGAAGCAAGTAGGATTTGAATAAGCTTCATGACGCTTGCGTAACAAGGTTCATTGATGAAGTTAGAACAGCTGCCGCTGGGAGATTCAGTGGATCATTATTTTAAGTGTCGCTTGCCTCGCCACGGATCAGATGCGGTCATATTCAGCTTCAATGTACGTGTAGATTAGATATATGCAGACGAATAAGTTAAAACGCACAGAAGCAGAGGCACATGTAGATTGGCTATTATATACCAAGTCTTTGGATACCTGTCAAGCTACATTCATATGCATCTCTCGAGTCTTCCTGCTCCGAGATAGCTTCTGTCTTCCGGATCTATACACTTGTCACTGTTAGAAAAGAAAGGCCAGTGTCAAATTTTGAATGCCTTGTAAAAAGATGCAATATTACTTTATATGACCCCTATAGTTTCTCCATTGCTGGGAGAAACTGGCAAGGAAACATTCTAATCTCAGCAGTAGCCGAACGATCATGGCGCCTATTAAGTTCTATGATGCTGCTACTTGCTCTTTTACCAATATGTACATGTGACCAATGTCCGCAGAGCCAGATGAGAACCAGTCCATGAGCCACTCCAGATCTTAGCTGCAGTGTCAATTGTTTCTTCATAAGCTGTTTAACCTTGTGAATGGAGTTCTCGTGCCCAGCTCCAGGCAATGTCTGCAATTAATTCTGGAGATTATCCTTACCTACTGGCAACCTAAGACGCAAAGGCGATTGCATATTGCCAACAGGAGCTCTCTCTCCGACTCTGAATGTCCATTCTAGGATTTACAAGCTGTTTCAGAGAGCGGCAGAAAGTCAAAATGGATCGCATAAAATGGAGATATTCATACATCAAATAAAACTTAATTCGAGGTATGAACATGTAAGCATGATCCGTATAATGTGTAAAATGAGCAAAATATTGATCCAAAAACATTTACTTTTTTTTAGCACTCTGGATGGAACATATGTGAATACAAGTTCCTTAACCAGAAGAGACTAGAACACGGAATATGTAAAAAAGAATGGTTCATAAAGAAACATATAAAAGGGTTAAACTCACAACACCAGGAGCAAGCCAAGCCAAGACAGGTTTTTCATTTTGAGTGCACTTGCTGCATGTACCAGAACTTTCATTAATCAGAGTAGTACAATCAGAAGGAAAGGAAATTGCCTCTAAAGAGAACCATCGGCCTTCCTGTGGAAAAATAAACTTATTCCAGCAGTATTTATATCCATAATGCTCTCTTTCTGCATCCTTCCTTCCCTCATAACAGGATGATAACTATAACTATGGCAACAAAACTGAGTTTTTCCAGATTCTGCAACAAGAATATAAAAATTGTTGTGATTTTCAAAATTCAATAGCAATCCTGAGCTATCAACAACAAGAAAATTGAGAAACATTAGCATTAAAAGGTTCAAAACAACATCAATGGAAATCAAGCACTCCCATTGATTATTAAATCAAACAAAGTCAATAGCATTAAAAGTACAACAATAGGAAAAGGTTATTATTAAATACCTTCAGTGTACTGGAAAACTATTTGGGATAAATATGATAGAACAAATTGGAGTTTATATGCAACAGATTCAATTCCAATTGATAGATCAGACTGGAGTTATATGCACCAGACTCAGTTCAAAACCCACTTATAAATGAGGCAGAAATGACAAGTTTAATTTGCAGACAAAGACATCATGTTTGGCAGACATGCAACAATATTGATTAACGATCTCAGCATCTTCCAAACAAGGTTTGAAAGGAATGGCACAAAATGGCAACGATCATTCCATGCCATGTCACTTCTTATCATTCCAGGAGCATCCTGAAAGCTAGAAAACACAAATTTTGACTTGTCAACTTTAAGATTTAGTATCCTGCTTTAAGATTTAAGAAGTTTCAATTAGTTGTACATTTGGTTAACCATCTGATGGATCCACAATGTACTGTGCAGATACACTGTTTACTTTTTTGACAAAAGAAGTGCTTATCGGACAATGTAAGTCAAATTGATCAAAATACAGATTCTCCAACTTGGTTGAATTCAGACGAGGGATAATTATCATGCGCTATGACAAGAACAATTAACTTTTAGGTCATATAAGGATAGATACAAAATAACGCAAAGTCAAAGAGTACGTGCATATACAATCCTCCTTGCTAGAGAATCTTCTCCATATAGCACTTGTGGATGTCTGTGGATCCTGTTGTTCAAAATGGAAAAAACCATCAGTCATAAAACTGTTGGTGCTACTTGACCTTGAAAATGGGATGCCTTCTCAATGGTTTGCTTCGAGCAAAGCATCTACATCTCTTTGCAGACAACAAGAATGAAGAACTAACAAGGACCTGTGCTAGGTTATGAAGAACATTAAGCACATATTGTGAAAACAAGGAAAATAAAGAATGGGCTTCAAAAGAAGTACAAAGAAGAATTGATGCGATTCACAAAAATATTCAAATCATCAATGCATTTCTTTTAAATGTCTCAAGAAAAATATATTACACCAAATGCCATAAAAGAGTTCCTCAAAAGTACCTCCATCCAGATTGGATTCTGTAGTCTGGCATAGGCAGCTTATTAAATACAACAACCTTCACGTAGTGCCAATTCAACCAGTATGATTCTGTCTCTAAATAGATGTTAGGATGCATATTAAAAAATAACAACCAAGAATAGATGTTAGGATGCATAATTGAATCATGAGGATGCACAAAATATACCTATACAAGTCCTATCTCGCAGTGAATACTACAAGATGCTCATAATCATGTTTGCTCTCACTCTCTCTCTCTCTCTCTCTGTTGATACTATTTGTTGCTCAGTTTCATTTCGAAAAAGTATGCTTAATTTGCACTTCTGTTCGTCAATGTTTTCCAAAGTTGATGCACTCCGAACACTCTGGCAAGCACAGTTTATGAAAAGGAGAAAGATTTAACTAGCAGATTTGCTAATATACTTTATCATAAACTAGAAATATAAGACTGACAAGCTCCACAAAAGAAACTGACTCAGAGTGAACTTCATAAAAAATTCAGAAGCACTTCCACGTGAAAACCTCATTGTGAACCCCATTATGACTAATTAAGTTCAGGCGAGACCAACCTTTCCGGATACCGAGCTTTACATGTGAAAGTGAAACGGAAACCCATCGCCCACGGAGATACTGGTACCCGGCGACGGCAGAACGAGCGCTATTTCATGCGCGCCTCTGTCCCAGCAACCGAAGTCCACGGACATTGCTAGGGTTCCTGCAACGGAAGCCTAGGCAATCAAGAAAGAAGCCGCAGGATCCAGGGACCAAGACTCCGGAGGTGGCGCCGCCTCCAGTCTTCGTGCCGCGCAAGGCAGAGACAAAGATTAAGATTACCTCTGGGGCAGGGGAGCGGGGAGGGGACGCACCGAGGCATGGTGATGGAAATGCGGCGACAACGCGGAACGCCACCGACCTTACATGCTCACCGCAATGGGAAGGGTTCCGGCACCGTGCGCCTAGCCGACCAAAAAAGAAGCCACGGGATCTGGCACGAAGACTCCGGTGATCGCGTCGCCTCCAGTCTTCATCGGCGCAAGGCAGCGACCAAGATTAAGATTACCTCCAGGGTAGGGAAGCGCCAGGGGCATCGTGGTGGTCACGCGGCGACACTGCGCGACGCCACCGATCATACACTGCCCGCACGGGGGAGAGATTGGGGATTAAAGAACGTTCTGTTCGGTGTATGGGATGTGTAGCTATATGGACCTCATTTGGCGGACAGAAGGCATTGCACCGACTGAGCCTGGGCATTCAAATGCGGGCCCCGCTGACATCGACTGATGAGAAGGCGACGATCCCAGTTCGATTGACCGTAGTGGGACCGCATAAGCGTTCACACGTGGCGACGTTAAATTCATGGAATATGGCATTTGGTGTCTGGAGAAAAGAATGGGAGGCGATCTCAATGTTCGGAGATCGGACGGTTGAATATCGATCTTGATGAAATAAGAGAATCTTATAGTACCGTAAGCAACGGAGAAATCAGTCGAAGTAAAACGTGGTTATGCTTGGCTAATTATATATTACCTCCTCATTTAGTTAAATCTCTTTAGTATTTTAATTTTTAAATTTAAATATTTTATATTAAAATTTTTATAGTTATAAAAATAAAATATTTAACCTAATTTATGTTAATGTGATCCAGGTAGATATAGTATAATAACACGTGTAAGATTAAAACGAAATCGATAGAAAATAAATAATTTTAATATCTTAATTATTAATTAAAAAATTTTAGTCAACTATTATTGTGGTAGCTAATGGCAATACGACTGGAGCCATGGGTGACTATTGTGATGATAGTCGATGAGAACAATATGATGGTCCGTCTTATCAATGATTCGAATATTTATGATTGAGGTGGTAACAACGATGACGATTTGATAATGGTGGTGATGAATCTCAAGAATGTCTTCGACGCGATGGAGTTCTATAGACTTTTGTGATTTCTTGTGATGGAAGAGGAAGAGCAATGATGGAATGTGAGATAAAATGATAAGAGGAAGTGGACAAGGACACAATGTTGCTCAATAAATGATAAGAGATAAGGCATTTGTATTGACACCACGCTGCTCTGCATCTATGTTAGCGGAATGCAAGCCCCTTGCCTTACCTCTCGTCGATACAAATGCATACTAGTGTCGATGCAAATACAGGATAATGCAAAGCGACCATCGTTGTCATCCTCTTTCTCCTCTCTCTTTGTCTCATATCTTATCGTCGCTCTTCCTCCTCTTCCTCCAACGTTTTACATCTACATCGATGAGATGCATGCCCTTTGCCTCATCATCCATTGACGTAAATACAAGATGACATCGACACAAATGCAAAGCAATGACGACATAAATATAAGACGATGCAAAGCAACCATCATCCTCGTTCTCTTCCTCCTCTCCCTTTATCTCACCTCCCGTTATTCCTTTTCCTCCTCCTCTTACAAGAAGGTACATAAGTCCCTAATCTCCGATTCCACCCTGCTCATCTCAAGGGTATTCCTAAGATCCACCACTATCATCATCATTAATGTTTGAATCTACGTTGACTTAGTAATTGAGATATTAAAATTATATTTTTGTTTATCGTTTTCATATTATTTTTATATGTATTATCAGTAAAATAGATAGTATTAAGATAAATAAAATTAAATATTTTTTTTATAATTATAAAGATTCTAATATAAAATTTTTGAATTCGAGGATATACATGTAATTAGCCGTGGTTTTGCTATCATTATTTTTTCGTATACGTACTTTGACACGTGCAGCACACGTGACTTCTGTCATTTTTTGTCTTTTTCCGAGGCCCATGGATGTTTCCCGCCTCATCTTCGTCCCTTCCGATATAACAAGCTCAACAGTTATCTTTTCTTCATGAAAGTCCTAATCTAGGATTAGGGTTTTGTAAGGTCTCATCGTCTTGTCCTCCCCTCCCACAATTCCTGAGCTCGTGGTTGCTGCCGTTGCCGCCCCCGCTCCGCGGAGCTCTTCCTCGAAGACAGAGAGCTACGTCGACACGAAGCGGCCCGACGACGTCTGGCAGGTGAACATCCTCGCCGCCGGCGCCGTCGCTGACGGCGTCCACACCGGCCTGGGACCCAAGGGCAAGGACAAGATGATCGCCTCCACCAACGGCGAGGTCGTCATCATCAATGACGGCGCCACCATCCTCAACAAGATGGAGGTCCTCCAGCCCGCTGCGAAGATGCTCGTCGACCTCTCCCGATCCCAGGACGCCGCCGCCGGTGACGGCACCACCACTGTCGTCGTCCTTGCTGGCTCCCTTCTCCGGCGCTCTCTTTCCCTCCTCTCCGCCGGCGTCCACCCAACCGCCGTCTCCGACGCCCTCCACCGCCTCTCCCTTCGTGCCATCGACGTCCTCCACGGCATAGCCATCCCGCTCGATCTATCCGACCGCGACGCCCTTGCCACCGCCACCTCCGTTAACAGCAAGGTCGTCAGCCAGTACTCCTCCCTGCTCGCGCCCTTGGCCGTCGACGCTGTCCTCTCCGTCGTCGACCCTGCCTATCCTGATCTCAGGTCAGTCAGTCTGCCGGCGGCCCCACTAGGGTCGAGAATGCCAAGATTGTCGTCATCCAGTTCCAAATCTCGCCACCAAAGGCCGACATCGAGCAGAGTATCGTGGTCTCTGACTACACCCAGATGGATAGAATTCTCCGGGAGGAGCGAAATTATACTTTGGGGATGGTAAAGAAGATCAAAGCCACAGGCTGCAATGTGCTCCCCATTCAGAAAAGCATTCTGAGAGATGCTGTGACTGATCTCTCGCTGCACTACCTGGCCAAGGCAAAGATTCTGGTGATTAAGGACATAGAAAGAGATGATATTGAGTTTATTACAAAAACTTTGAATTGCTTGCCAATCGCTAATATCGAGCATTTCCGAGAGGAGAAGCTGGGTTTTGCAAATTGTGTGGAGGAAGTCTCATTTGGAGATGGGAAGATTGTGAAGATCACTGGCATCAAGGACATGAGCAGGACGACAACCGTGTTTGTCCGAGGATCAAACCAGCTGGTTATTGATGAGGCAGAGCACAGCCTCCATGATGCCCTCTGTGTTGTCAGGTCAACTCGACCCCCTGTGTTTTCTCAACATGTTTTGTTAAAATCAGTGTATATATATATATATATATATATATATATATATATATATATATATATATCTTGTACCTATCATTTTTATGTGATTCTTATCGACATTGTAGCAGTAGCTGAAAGGTACTCTTATGGTTTGTAGACAGAATTTTCTTAGATTAGGTTTAGTGTTGGGTGTTCTAGTTGTGGAAAGGGATTGGGTAAGCAGAGTGGGGCTGGATCTATTATGTTTTCTCTTGGATATATTTTTGAACTGTTGCAGTAGCTATGGTGGACATTGGTTGGGTGGCAGAGGTCATTGGAATGCACTGAAAATTAGAGGGTGTGCACTGTGTTGATATCACCATTATGTTTGAAATGCAATGAAGATCTAAAGTATCGCAACAGGAAAGGTATAAGGATTTTCTTGTATTTTAAGGGTTGTGGTAGTGCCAAAATATGGGTAATGGCGTGATGATTTGATTGATCTTTATACATTTGAGAATTTGATATTTTCTAGATGAGTAATCACTATGAATTTTTACATATTTGTCTGGTATCGGGATTATTAGATCACAAATATGGTGCATTTGGTACAGTGCATACTGCATATGGACTGGTATATACCGTTCTGTCCGTAGACTTGTATTGGACCATATAGTCCAGTACCAATCAGTGTTATTTTTAATTATGTTTTAGATGGTATTGGATGGTGGGTTAGTGTACTGACCAGCAACTGTTATTGTATTGATCCGATGGATTACTAAAATCAGGATCACACCATGACTTAAATCCTTTATCTCAACAAGTTTTAGACTTTGTACGTTCAATTGCTTCAGTTAGTTCTTTCTCCAGCTGCGGATCTCTCCATTGTATGCATTAGTACAACACCAACTATTCCTCAAAATTGTCTTGTGTTTATGTTTATTAGTGGCTTCATTGTACCTGGAGCTTATATATGTAGTAACTTGCTTGATACATTTGACTGTGTTGTATGTGTTAGTATCAACAATACCAGTGGAAAGTAGCCTTCTTAATAAAATGGGAAGTGGGCTAGTAATCACAGTTTAGAGATAACTGTTTTTCTAATAGATTTATGCATGGAAGTGCAAATTTTGCCTAGGTAAGTATTAGAGCAGTCTTTAGGAAGTCCCTTCATTGGAAAGTATAATTCTTATCTTTCATTTGAAACGTAGAACCATCATTCATTAATGTGTCTTTAAGAAGGTTTATATGATTTCTTTTTTGGTGACCAAAACGATGGATTCTTTGTTCTGCACATCACAAGGATTCACATGTTTGATTCAAGTTTAGAGTTACTTCTGATAGTCATCTATTTGTGGGGGGTGCCTTTACCTTTTATATTACTTGATTTTGTTGTTCAAGTCAATGGGTAAATAATTCAAAGGTAATGTAGGTGTGTAGAAGTTTTTTGACTGGTTATGTGGCCTCTGTTGACTTCTAGTAATCAAACTATATCATCTTACAGTGACTTTCTCGAGTGTTATGTGGCCTTGGAATTTTCTAGCTTTTCTTGAATATTTCTGGGAGTCATGAGGATGTCTGCTTCTACCATATTAACAGTTTAGCTTACTTAGACAAATGGATAATTAAATGAAGATAGGCTCAGTTTAGGAATTTTGTAGCTTTTTGTGGTTAAATTTTATGGGACTCATCATCAGCCAACTGAGAGGTTTAAAGTCAAGCTTTTATCTTATTGGCTGCATTTCACAGTAGTTGCTTATTGCAATTGCAGAAAAAATCCTTTTACATGAATTCCTCGGTTCAATGCTTTAGTTAATCATTTTGTTTCTGTTCTGCATTAGATTGTCTCGAAAAATTTGTATCGACTTCAATTCACATACTTCATGGCATGTTCAGATGTTTGGTAAATAAGAGATTTCTTATTGCTGGTGGGGGTGCACCAGAGATTGAGATGTCCAGGCAGCTTGTAGCTTGGGCAAAAGAGCTTCGGGGAATGGACAGTTACTGTATCAAGGAGTTTGCAGAAGCTGTTGAGGTCATTCCCTACACTTTGTCCGAGAATGCCATGCCCA